TAGCAAGTTACAGAAGAGGAGATGTTAAAATAGTTGAAAAATGCTCACTCTAGATGTTCATCACAAGAACATCAATGAGAACATCAAATGCCCAAAGACAAAGCACTTTCATTTTGTATATTCGTAGTGACAATGCAGGACACAAAGTCCCACTACCAACTGCTGTTGGAATATGAGCTCAGTCACTTAAGCCATCAGTTGTATCCACAGAAATGAAAAAGGTCATGGCTTATAACCTAGCACTTCCACTTCTCAGCATTGGCCTGGAAAAATGCTCACATATGCCCATGAGGAGGTTAACACAAGAGCACTCACTGCAGCATTTGTTTGCAATAGGAAAATGTGTGAAATACTCACTGCCCAGCATTAGAAATACAGTTATTCCTAATAAGAAATACTACACAGCAGTTAAACAGAAGTAGATTTAAGAACCAAAGTGATCAATAGTCCAGATTATTGCATTTCCTTTCCTCAAAACTCTACATTTGTTCTGAAATTGAACAACCACTTTTGCTATGAAATATAGTATGTTGGTTCACGCATTCATTAGTTCATTCATTCATTTACCAATGTGTTCTTAGCTTATACAACACTTCTTCCGGGAAACCTTCTTAAATTACCTCAAACTGGGTTAGATACCCTTCCTTTGTTTTCTTTGTACTCCTCACACTACAGTATCTTTCATGCTGCAGTATAATCACTGGATTCCTTACCTATTTCCCCCTTTCAACTGTGTGCTCATGAAGCCAGGGATCAGGACTCTATCCCTAGTTCTGCGGTGATAGACACCCGCAACTATTTGCTGAATGAATTGATGATGAATGGATGGGCAGATGAACAGATAAATGACAGTGAGCTGCTATTCACTGTTCCTGCTTTGTCTTACACCTGTCTTACTCTAAACAAAAAAACAAAAAAAGAAAAAAAAGGAAAAAAGAAAAAGGCTTAGTTTTGTCAAGTTTTTCTTCTTAGAGAAATCTGAAGATTCCATATAGACCCAAGCACCATGGTGCCCAGTGCAGAAGCAAGTAAAGGTGACAGTCAAGTTGAGAAACAGAAGTCTCCTTCCTTTGTTCCCAGCCACACACATAAAGAACTAGCTACGCAACTTGTGTTGCTGGGTTCCAAGACTAGGTCACAGGAATGGACTGTGGGCTAGAAGCCTGTGAGTTGTAAGCCTGTCTTCTACTTGCTGCATCTTGAACTTCAGCCAGCTTGGATGTGTGTCTGAGCTCTAGAGATCTGCTCCTGTGTTATTACAGCAGGAGGCATTGTGGTTGAGAAGGTGGAATTTGGAATTAGATTGGCTCTGCCATTGCCAGCTGTAGTAGGCTGGATGAGTACATTTTCTGAGCTCAAGATTTTCTCTGAGCTTCACCTGCCTCATAAATATGTGTAAGGCACTTAAATGGTGAGTATTCATTAAGTAATAGTTATTATTATTAGCATGATTATTGTCCACACACTACACATTTCACTAGGGCATTGGAACCAGTGAGATCCACTCCAGGTACTGATCTTATAGACAATCTCTGCCGAATCCCTTTTACTTAAAAAAGAAAGAAAGAAAGAAAGAGAGAGAAAAAGAAAAAAGAACAAAAAGAAAGAAAAGAAAAAAAAGGGTAAATGAGTCACCTGTCATCTAAGAACAACATCTATCCACACAGAATTGCATAATGTATTTTCCCCCAATTTTACATACAAGGAAATTGAAGCCTAAATAAGTGACATAATGTGTCTTAATGTAACATGGTGAATTAGTAGCAGAGTTGGCAATGGTCTCCTTTTCCTCTGCTATTGTCACTTCTCATTCAATGAAGGGGTTTCCACTTAAGGGAGACGTTACACATTTTTTTCCTCATCCTGGCCAAAAGTAATCAGTCTACTGGAAGCATCTATGGGGTAAGCCCAGAAGCCCTTCCCTCCATCAATGTCATACCTTGGGAAACTATCTCCAGGATAGATAACAGAAAACATAAATATTTTTGCTGAGAGAAAAAAATGAAGACAAAGGTCAAAGGGGATCATGTAATGGGTTGAGTCAGGAAGGAAAAAAAAAGGTATTTTTTCTCACTCTCCTCTTTTTCTCCAAAACAGTCTTTATATAGAACTTGTTCATGAGCCAATTTATTTGATATGGAAAAAATGTGAAAGCAGCTAAATACACACACATGCAGAGACACACAGAGGTATGTGTGTTGGAGTTCAGAACTTGAATTACTAAGAGATAACGGAGTTGAAATAGTAGATTGACTTGGAATGATTTTTTACTTTGTTCAGAGTCTCAGAGAACATTCAGGTCAGGAAACCCCACCCAGGTCTCCAGTAAATTCATTGGGACTCAAGGAAGCAAAGAGAAAGGCCAGCGAACACCTCAGGGTAGCCCTTGTTCTTGTCACACATTAGGGACCAGAGAAGTTTTCGTTGAGTGAATGAAAGTACAAATGGTGCACAAGAACGTGGGCCTGGATAGTGATGGTTTTGGAAGCCAGTAGACACAGAACTAGGCATTTTAGTTAGCAGTTAAGATCTTCAGCACTAAAGTGTGAGTGTCTAGAGTAAAGGGACCAGGTCTGAGTATTCCATCTAATCTCCACCTCCCAGGACAGTACACAGAAAGTTCTCAATGCATATCTGTACATTGAATGAGTACTTGTATGAGTGAGAGACCCTGCAGATTCCTGGGCCTTTGAGATCATTTAGAGGAGTGGTATCGAACTTCAACTGGAATCAGAGACATCTGGAAAAGCCTAGATTTGGAGTTTCTGATGCTATCATCTGGGCTGGGCCTTGGGACCTGGCCTTCGTACCCACTTGCTATTGATACTGCTGGTTGGGGGCCACATTTTGAGAACCTGATTAATTGAAGTGGTCCTTAAACTTGACTGCACAAGATAATTACCCGGTGAGATTTTAAAAGTTCGGTGGTCAGGCCTCATCCTTATCCATTAAGTTCATACCCGGGAGTGGAGGGAAAAGTTTGGAGGGTATGCGAGTGAGACACAGATAACTTAAAAATCTTTCAAGTTTTCACATTGTGCAACCAAGTCTGAACATGAATAATCTAGTGCAACCTCCTCCTTGTAGAGGAGTCCTCTGAAGACTGGAAGGAGTATGTGACCAGCCTAAGATCGCAGAGCGAGTTAGTAACCAGGCTGAAAAGAGAACTCAGGTGCTTTTACTTCTTCAGTTTAATTTCTACCATTCCACACTTAGCACCTGATATCAGTGCTCCCATGTTCACAACTTGAGAAAAAAAAATGAAAGTTGTGTTTAAACTGAGGTTTTAAGACATCTATTATTTATTACCCCATTGTTTTGTAAAGAAATTTTAAGTGGATGCATATTTATGGAGCTTTTACTACTCTAGACAAGTGAGATGGAGGAGACAGGGTTATGAAATCTTTTCAAGGCAGGACGATTCTTTACATTTTAAGTCCATTCGAAAACACAAACTAAGTGCTCCCTCTGAGTTCTTAAACAGATGTTCTTCATCTTTGAGTCAATGAATGGGCGAGGGTTTGCTTGTGATGTGCACGTTAATTGCTGGCATGTAAAAGGAAGTGCTGGTAAAGTGTTTGAAAGTGGTTCTGTCTCTTAAAAAGATTAAAAGTTTCCTCCAGAACTTGGTTTCTATTAATGATTGGCTTCATAAATATTTTCAAGTAGACAGAGCACAGATTGTCTCTTATATCATCTTACAATCAAAGAAAGAGCCACAAAAGACCCATAGAAACCATGGACTTCAACATTTTCATCACACAGAGGAGGAAATTGAGGCTCAACTAGACTGACTGATTTATCTAACGTCAGTAAGGGGAATGACTGGAATCAAACACAAGGCGTCTGACTCCTGAGCTATTGTTCTTTCTGAGACTCAAAGTGTTCCCTACCAACATCCATAACATGTAATAAATGTTCAACAAATATTTGCTGATTGACTTCACAGAGTCTTAGAATCCAAATTAGGTGGCCAAGGCTTCCTCATTGGCGAGGTTAAAGCAGAAGTTGGAATCACATTATTAACTGAACAATGGTTAAATGCTCTGGCTTGGGAGTTAAGGTGGAATGCCAATCCTGATCTCACCACTTCCTAACCATGTGATTCTGGACACCTGACTTCGCATCTCTAAGCTGCTGTTTTCTTCTTTGTAAAAGCAGAAGGATAATGGGACTGTGGATGCAGAGAAGATGAAACATGTAAAAGATGTAAGTATCTTAGCCCATAGTTTGGCACATAGGAAAAGCAAGAATTTCTTCATTATAATATGACTTCTTGTGTAAAATATAAATCCTGAGGATATTTAAAGAAGGTGTACTAGAGAGGAAGCTTGGGATATATACTATATTAAGGAGAAACACTAAGTTGTATAAAAGCATTGGCTATCCACAAGAATTATGGAGACCTAGATTTGCAAGGGCACGTAACAATCACATGGGTTTGGATCAGTGTTCCACTTCAAAAAAAGAAAACAAATCAAGGACCATGACTGGTGATGTTTACCTTCCAAAAGTCTCATACAAATACCCAGGAACATGGTCAATTCACAGTATTTCAGAGGTGAGCAATCTGCCATAACTTCACCTTTGTCTCACACGCTGAAGAAGCAACCAGAATGCATGGATATTCTCCAGTGTAACATAGAAAACAAATCATTATCAAACTTCAATCATTCCACTTTCATTAGGAACACATGACTTCTTCACTGCTAATCCCATTCAAATGTTGGGAAAACCAAGTTTCCGAAAGACTCGGATGCTTAGAGTCACACTTTAGAGCTATCAGCAAAATCCAAGCCTCCTAGCTCCTTATCCTTGCTCTTCCCACCATATCAGTTCTCCCTTGTCAAGACAATTCTATACACAATGCCACATTATAAAGCCCTAGAAGTGAGTCTGGCTGTGATGAACTTTCTTTTAATCCAGGCCTCTCTGACTCTTTTTTTTCCCTTCTGCATCCCACCCACTTAGTCCTCTACTTATCCAGAAAGTGCACTTACATGTCTGTGAATCTTCTATTAAGATGCAGATTGGAGGCCACGTCCACCTGGAGAGGAGGGTCCCGGACCACTTTGTACTGCAGGGGCTTACACGCTAGGCAGAGTGGGCTGTCTGCAATGGAGGTCAACATGGCAGCATCAATCTCCAGGTGCTCATCCAACGTGTAGATCTGAATGCCATAAACCTCCTCGCCCACATCCCGGAGTTTGATGGTCAGTGGAACATCGCAGAATACATTCTGAGGGCCCAGGGAGATGTTCTTCCCCATTGTAGTCAACAGTTTGATGTCATTGACAGCCCCACTAGAGTCCCAGTCAGTGGAGACAAAGGTTACCCAGACTGTCAGAGACTCAGGAACCAAAGGATAATGGAATTCCAGTTCAAGGTAGCAGCCTTGTGGCTCAGGGCAGGCTGGCGGGACCGTGTGTGGGTTGACAGCTGAATTTGGGCTCCAGGTGCGGACACTGGATTTACAGGGCTGTTCAACATCTGGATGGCCTATGGAGAAGAGATGAGGATATGAGTTCCTGACAGACCTTCAGTCCAATCCTTGGAGTTTACTGCAGACCTCAGGAGAGGTTGGCCTAACAAGAACTCAGATAGAGGGAAAAAGAAAGGGAAGATTCTCAATGTTTTGGTGAATCAGCTATCTGTCTCACATCCAGCTCATCCCCATGACTGCAACAGATATCTTACGTGAAACACTAGACACTTGGTCAAGACTATATTCAAATAAGTGTCTTACTATTGAATTAAAGTTTTCTTCCTCATCTGCCACATTTAAGTTTTGTGGCTAGGATGGAAATAAGAAAGGGACACATGTTTATCAAACACCTTCTATGTCCCATAAACTTGCTTAATTCTTGTAAAGACTCATTTCAGAGGTGAGGAGATATGGAGTGAAATGACCCAAGTCTCACAGCTTGAAGTGTAAAGGTCAGCACTGGAAGCCGGTGTTGGCTCTGCTGGAAGTTCATACTCATTATTTTCACTACTGGATGCAGGGGCCACTAAAATAAACTAGATTCCTCATGGTGTTGCCTTTGATGCAAGCTGCTTGGAGTGACAGAAGGGTCAGAAACCTTCGGCAAAGAGGAGGTGAGTGCAGATAGCTTTCTGCTCCTTGGACTGAGGATTCTGGGAGGAAACTGTCCAGAACCATAAACGACAGAGCTGGAAGGCAGCCCTGGAGCCAACTTATCTCTCCTCCTCCCCTTCTCTACATGAGGTCATCCCACACCACTGAGCTTCTCCATGCTGACCAGTCTGATTCAAAAAGGGGAGGGCTGGGTGAGGAGCTAGGAGAAGGAAGGAGGGATTCTTTTGCTTTTTCCTCTTGGAGACAATGCCTCATCCCCAATGATCTCAGACTGCATAGACTTCTGAATTTTTCTCCACTGAGATCATTTAGTCCTAGACCCTCAAGAGCTCTCCTTTGCTCTTCTGAGAATAACAATCAGGGCTCAATGTAATGATTGGCTCTAATTTGTTTAAAGGAGTGTAGCAAGAGATATAGATCAGTTAGTAAGGGTAGGATGGAGGACTTTAAGCTGTTCTATCTGTCACACACCCCCCTCCCCCTTAGCATCAGTGGTTGGTGGAGGGTGGGGATGCTGTTACAGCATAACAGGAATCACTGTGAAATGAAAAACAGAAAGTCATCTGAGGTGGAGAAGACATTCCAGTGAAGGTTATACAAGCCTTCAATCTCCTGGTGTCTTTCCACCAAGGAAGAAGAGAGGGGGGAAAAAGAGGGAGAAGAGAAGAAAGAGAAAAGAAAAAGGGGAATAAGGAAAATGCACAAAAACCTTTTTAAATGTAACACATGAGAACAAGGAGAGATGAACACAGCTCTAAGATTCCCTTTGCTCTTCCTTGGCTAGATTCACTCATCTGTTGCAGCAAATTCTAGCTAGAAGCAATCAGTCATTTAAGTCAAAGACATTACCCACCTACACTGAAGCCTTTCTTGCCATCTCCACTCCATCCCACTGAGTTCCTGATTCTCTTGACTTCGTGGGTTGTTGGCACACATATGTCATTTATTCATTCAAAAAGATTTATTGAGGGTACATTTTAATATATTTGAAGCACATTTCATAGCCATTAATTAATGCATCTGCTCATCATCAAAATCCTGCAGGATCCCTATCATTTTTGTCTCTATTTTGTAGCTCTTTTTCACTCAATACAATACAGCCTTTGCTTAAAATGGGGACTGGTCCAAATATAGTGAACATAGTGAATACTTAATATATAAATGTTACAGGAAGAATCTTCTCTCTTGGTAAAGTTAAGGAAGAAGTGAATGGCCCCTGGACTACAGGAGCCTGCTGAGTGAGGGTGAGTGCCAGGTGAACGTTCCATTCACTCCATGGGCTTTCTCCTGCAATTGGCAAAGGATGAAGTGGTCTTTCTCCCTTCCTTGGAGAAGATGACTGTCAGAGGTGGAGAGCCATAGGAGAGCAAAGATGACAAATCTTTTTGGCTCAGGCTTTCTCTATGGTTTCTTGTTAATCAACAGAAGGGCCAAATGCTTTTCCAAAGGACAGAAAGGTGAGCCTAGTCATTTATTATGCGCAAGTGCATTAGGAATAGAAATCTTAGCAAGGTTTCTGCTTGTTTAGTTATCAAAGACAAACTTTTAGAAGTCAAAAAGAACCTCAAGCGTCCCTGAATCCAATTCATCACCAAAGCAGCAATCCCTTCGGTAACATCAGCTTCATGGATTGATCACCTTCTATGTGCCAGGTATGGTGCCAAGCACGCTACATGCCTCAGCTCTTTTAATCCTGGCAATAAGTGTATGATGCAGGTCTTATGAAACTCATTTAAAAGAAGAGGAAACTGAGACTCTGATGGTTAAGTAATTCCCTGATGGGGAGTAGAATATTCTGTGATACTGTCAGTCTGGGCAACATGCCAGGCTTTGAAGCCATGAGAGTTGGGTTAAAATATCAGCTATCCAGCTTCACATTGTGTTACCTACTGTAATACTACCTCACAAGGTTTCCGTAAAACTCAAATGGGATCAAATATATAATAGATGTGCATGCACGCACGTGCGCACGCGTGTGCGCGCGTGCGTACACACACACACACACACACACACACACACACACACTAGCTCTGTTCTCACAAGTAAGGAAGAATTAACAAGAAAAGCTCAAGTGGGGGCTGCATTCCAAACCAAGAGAACAGTGGCTAGAGAATATGCGTCCAGATGACTATGGTTTTGAGAGCAACGGGAGAGCAGCAAGTGGTCAGGCTGGCAAAGTAAGTAGAATCACATGTCACTTTAAGGGAATGAACTTCATATTGAGAGAGATGGGAGCTACTGAAGGATTTTAATCAAACAAATGAAAGTTACCTTTTTGGGAAAACCACTCTTTAGAGATAGATACTATTTATCCATTTTTCACCCATCCACCCATTCATCCATCTATCCATTTACCCATCCATCTATCCATCCATCCATCTATCTATCCATCCACCAATCTATCCATCCATTCATCCATCTATCCAGCCATCCATTCATCCATCCATGTATTCAAAGATTAATTATTGAGTGCCTGGTTTGTGACAGGGTTGGCTAGTCCCAGAGAAAACAGGTTTCTAAAGATGTGGTCTCTGCCCTCATGGAGCTTCCAGTCGAGTGACGAGTTATCAGACATCTGTACCAAAGCAGCAATGAATGCATAGTTGTGCCTTGGAGAAAGAGAACATCACAGCAGATGAGGAAAACCCTGAGTCCTAAGGAGAATAATGCACACAGATGGGAAAGTTGATAGCATGTATGATGGTGAGGCAGGGAGAAAAGCTGAGACAAAGAAAAAAACTGAGGGATGAAGAAAGGATGGGAGGGAGGAAGGAATAGAGGGAAAGAGGGAAAAGGGGAGGAGGAGGGGGGAAAAACACAAAGGTACTGTTACTTCATTATTAATATATAGCCTTTTATGTATATAGTGACTAAATGAAAAGTCACATGTTTATATAAGTTGGCCACTAGGAGTGAGGCCAAATATGTGTGTAAATTATATTTATACATACTTATGCTGATTTAAATTTACATTTATGAAGATCTATTCAGACACCTATTCTATATTTATGTGCATATAGACTGCAGCTGTTGACACAAATATGGTTATAAAAATTTGGAGCCAAGTTTTTTTCCAGATGAATACTTCAGTGCACCTGAAATATTCTAGGCAGAAAGAGGAAAAACTCATGCAAATAAGAAAAAAAGAAAACAGTGCCATGTGTTAATCTCTCATAGAAAACCCAAGGCTTGTAATGTATTATATGCTTGCATAAGTGATCTTAATTGGGATTTCAGGCAGTCAGATCTGGCTAGTTAACTTCTGGGCTACAAATGTAGTGTGCTCTTGAATATTCCAGAAGAAATTTATCTATGCAATACAGTTTTTGCTAAAGAGATAGGAAAACAGGGTTTCTTTGGAGTATAACCACTTTCTGTGGGCAAAGGCAAGAATTCCTGTGACTGTATTTACCTGAAGTTCATGGAATGAAGTTGATAACATATGGTGGCTTTCAATAAATATGTTTAAATGAGGAGCCTTCTGTCTTGTTCTAATAGATTTAAAATAAATGAATTATAACTGCTTGGAATGTTGGAGCTGGAATGGGCATTCATTCTGTGGATAGGATGCTATCTTCAAAGAAGCTCCATGGCTCACTCATGGGCACAGAGCACGTTGATGGACAGGTTGCAGCCTAGGTCAGCCCTCTTTACCCTGCTCCATTCTGATCCCCTGCTCTTTCCCCAGTCCCAAATATATGGCTGGCATCGCTCATGGGTTTCGGAGTTTTCTGTCAGTTTGGGAAGTCCACAAACTTAAACACGCAAAGATAAATAGGATGAAAATGAGTTGAGAAATAAATTACAGAGTTTGGCTCATGGAAAAGTTTATTTCTTCAAGGATATTAAAAAGAGTCTGAGCCAAAGGGATCACAGAGCCTATGATGTGATGCTCTAAAAAAAGCACAGTGTCTTTCCCTGGCCTGCCTGCGCTGAATTTACATAACCTGAAGGAATCCGGGGGCTTCTAGGGTTCCTTGGAGGCCGAATCAGCTCAGGGAACCAGGGGTCTTGGCATTTCCAGTGAACCATTTCTGCATGTCAGGCTTTAAGAGGGTCAGGGATAAACCAGGAACAATCGGAACCAATCGATGGTTGGGCTATATAGAGGTATAGGGGAGATGTCTGGAATTAGAACAAATCAAGATGATTTTAGCCAAAGAAGTCTCAGGAGAGTCTTGCTGACCCTACCTCCCAAACATCTCTCCATTTCACCAACCTCATCCGGCCACCGCTGCACCCCTCCTGGATTCCTGCACCACTCATGGGCCATTCCCTTTCCTCCAGCATGTTCCCCACAACCCCGTTCTCTGCTCCAGAGGAGCCCAGCACTCTTTATAACATGTGCATCTCACCATATCGCAGACCCTAGCCAAGGCACGTGGGGTCTCCTTTCTGCCCTTGGCATAAACCCGAACCACTCCTCGTCTGGTTGGTATATACCTCACCCAACCCCACCTCTCCCTACTCCACACCTTGCTCTTTACGCTACAAATCCATCTAAGCTCTTCCAGCCTTACTGCAGAGCTCTCACTCAGGTGGGTCATGTCCATTAGCAGTTACTGTACCATAAATTAAAGCTGAGAAACTTTAAAGAACACACAAGCATGTGTTCCATGGGCTATCAGAGCAGTAATAACATCACATTCCATGGAGCTGCCGGGAAGCGCTACGACATTCTCAGGAGAGAGTGAGAGTGAAAAAGGTAAACCATGTCATGTATTATTATGAAAATAATTTTAGACTTTGAGGAACCCTAATGACCTAAGCCTTCAGATGCCAGGAGGAAACCATCGATTTAAAAGATACCAAATGTTTTTCACATTCTTCAATGCACCTTGCTTGCTGGTGTGGTGACATTTCCCAAGAAGTCCAAGGCTCCGTTTATGGGGCAGCTCCCCTTTTCCTGCTCCCACACCTCCCAACCCCCCACCCAGTGCTCCCTACTTCTATTAGCACAGGTCTCATCACCCCAGATGGTGATTATCCATCTACTTCTCTGACTCTCCTCTATTATGGTTGGCTCAGCCTTGCCCTCATGTCCAGCCCAGAGCCTGGCATACAGACCCTGCCATGGTTATAGATGAGACTGGTTTATCCCCTGTGGGCACAGAAAGTGCTGTCTGGCTAGAGACATATACTTTCTCCTGTGAGAATCCAACATGGCTTAGGTTTGGGTGGAAAGGTCCAGACTGCCCATTTCAGGAAGGACTTTCTAACAAATGGAACTAGAACAGGAAGGCCAAGAAATACTGGTGCAAGGAGAGCCTGGTGTGAGGACAGTCTCTGTGAGGGAGGGCACCGGGGGCTTCCTGCATTGGGTGAGAACCCTGGCTGGGTGACCCCGAGCATCCTTTCCACGCCTGAAGGCCTGTGACTCTGCGAGGGTGAGCTGAGGGTTTTTCCAGAATCCCTCTCGCTTCACATTCCAGATGGGTTTGTTTAGAGTTCCCAAGTTTGACTCTTATTTTTATTTTAAGCTACTTCAGAAGATTAAGTGTAGTGTTGTCATTTTTCTCTGTCACTTGCCTCTCTGATCCCTCTTCCTTTTTCTTTTCAACTTTCTTTCTAAAAATATAGAGACAAACAGAATTCTCACTGAACCTCAATGAGGAACCAGACTTCGCTCCCTATGAGGGATGGGTGTTCTCCCTAAGAGACTGCTGCCCTGCATGGGAGCAACAGAATTGGGAGTGGGGGTGCTCTCAGTGTAAGACTGTGAGGGAGGCCAAGGCGATGCCTGAAAAGAGAAGAGGGGGTCCCTGTCTCTCTGCCTGGCTTCAGCAACTAGAGCTGATCCCTAGGCAACAGATACAGCAGAAGGAAAGAGAATAGACAATAGTTTATGAGTCTCAGTTCCAAGCAGCCTTGCTTCAGGGTTACAGTGTAATAAAATATTGAGCAAAAGGTACTCTCTTAATTTTTATAGAAAACCAAGTGAACCTGGGAGTGAAGGGTACTGTATGGGACTACAGAGATCATTGGCCACTGGGAGGCTTGGGAGACTCCCCCTAACTAGGGAAGGGTCTGGTCATGGGTGGAGCCCATAACACGGCAACCATGAGATGCTTCCTTCAAGGGTCTTGCAGATCAATGGATCCCAAAAAGAAGAAGAAACTGAAAGGAAAAGTCATGATACATGTGATAATGCCCTGGATATTCCCATAAATAATTAAGAAAGAATCCAAGATACTGATGTCTGAAAGCCCCCACATGTGTACTGATCCTCAGATGACTTTGTACTGTAGCCTGTGAGGTTCTGGAGGGAAATATAGATGCATACCCGTCTTTGTGTGGCCTTGGCACCTACTTAATATCTCAGTGCCTTTGTTTCCTTATATGTAAAGAGGGATGATATACGTAGGGCAGGGAAGATACTCAAAGGACATGTGCTAAATGAAGGCATGGACATTGGGCTTCATGTTGGGCAAAGAGTACAAACTTCCAGTTGGAAGATGAAAAGGTTCTGAGGTTCTAATCTGCAGCATGGTGACTACAGTTAGTGATACTCTACTGTTGCTGCGAGTCGCTCTTCAATGTTCTGGCACCATAAAAGGTTAAGTAGGTGAGGTGATGCATGCGTTAACCAACCTTATTGTGGTGATCACTTTGTAATATACATGCATCAAATAATGACATCATACACTTGAAACTTACACAATGTTATATGTCAATTATATCTCAATCAAGCTAGAAAAAAGGACAAAAATGTTACAACTTAAAAATACTGGTCTTGCAGGGCAATCTAAGATCCAAGGAGATGGTATGGAGAAAAGATCATTGGAATCATAACACTCCAGATGGACCAAAAGAGGTGTTCTTTTCACACCCAACCTGTCTGTGAGCTTCCAAGCTGGCTCACCTTCTGCTTCCCGGGGACTCCAGTGTCCGGATGGGCCACAAGGCATCGGGGAGGAGGCATTGATGGCATACTGCACCAGGATCCTCCCTTCCAGGCAAAGGTCACATGCTGATCCCAATTCTCTAGGAGGCCAAGGAGAAAAGGAAAATACACCGACTTAGGAACAGTTGAATGAGCCCCTGACTTCCCTAGGCCAAAGGCAACAGAGGATGCAATTGTTTTACGTTATTCTCTTTCCTGACTATGCATGCCAAAGCTTCCAGGATATGACTGTAACTGAAAGTCCTCCCTATTGCCTAGCAAGAACCTTGTTGGGGCCTAAGTGGCTTCCATTTCAATGATGTATTCAATTCTTTAACTTCAAGGAGCATAAAATCAACAGGCCAAAGACACACTCACAACCTGCAGGATCATAATTCCATCAGCCACCCAAACCTCCACTGAGAATCTGATGTGTAGTTCTGAGAAAATCAGTCGCCCTATTTGACTTCAAATTTTATTCTTTTACCAATATTTATCAGGTACCTACCATGTGCCAGGCACCATCCTGTGTCCCAGGTATTATAATAGATAGGAAGAAGGCACGGTTTAGTTCCTCCACCTGAAAAATGAGTGGGCTGAACGAGAAGATACCTAGAGAACCTTCCAGCCTTGACATTCTGGGAATGGATGCGTCACTCCTTGGTTAAACACTCAAAAGCTGTTTCCTTGCCATGCCATCTCATTCCTTTTAGCAGCTTTCCAAGGGGCAAGCCAATCCCTCAGAGGAACTAGCCCCAGAAGTGGAATATTATGATGGCTTCCCCTACTGTCTACTGTCTTGTATCTGGATCCAAATTATCTTTAGCCACAACAGCCTCTGGGATCCTATTTGTTCTCCAGACTTGGCAAATGTTTGAGAGGCAGTTGCCAGGAGGGGAGAGAGATGAACCCTCATGTACTAGGTTGGACCCAAAATTCCACAAATCTGAGTGACCACTGCAAAGGAACTGGAAAGGGAAGAAAGATGCCAAGAAATGTGCCAGCCTGACCCATTATTTCTCAAAATGCAATGATCCTGCCAATAGCTCTTTCGTCATTCCTAGAAGGTCCCTCCTTTGGCTTCTTGCAAGAGCACAATGAGGTAGCCTTAGGGCTTTCCCTTCACAGGGAAGCTCTGCAGCCTCTGGACTCACATGGTATGGAAGAGTGTGCTGTGGACGCCACAGTTTACTGATGCTTCCCATTCCTCCTCCACACAGATGCCAGGGAGCTCATCCCCAAACCTAAAGCTGAGCAAGCCATGCCCCTGCTTTCTGCTTATATAATGTCAACATGTGTAATTGGGTGGATGGACTGATAGATGGATGGATGGGTAAATACTAGTCATTCAGAAAAATTGCTAAGATTCCTGACTAACCTAGACTACTTCTTCAAATTTCAGAATTTACATCCTTAGTTTCATCATTGAAAATATAAAACCATACATAGGTAGGAAGTTTAAAAGCACACTAAATATTCAAAGATAGGAAAATAATTAAATAACCTAAGATTAATTTGCTCAATGAAATGGTAAGTAGTTATTCCAAAAATATTTATAAAGATGATGAAACTTCATGGAGACTGTAAGCTATAATGTTAAGTGGAAGTCATATTTAAAACTGAATTTATAGCCAGAATTTCAATGCTGTTCCAATAACCTTAACATGACAAGATATTACTGGAAGTAATTTCCAGGTGGTAGAACACAAGATGATCCCCTATTTTTATTTCTTTTGGTTTTCTGAGTTTTCTATATATTCTGAATGTGGACTAGCAATAACAACAACTATACAAATAAACTTAAACAAACGATGACTGAAGAGAGAAAGATTTGCTCAGCACCACTATGGAGGACAGAGTTCCATTACAGTGAACACAGTCCATGCAGAGCAGCTCTGCATCACATGAATGCCCCTGATGACAATGACATTACAAATGTCCCGGGATGGAATCAGAAACCACAGTGACCTAAATGGCCAATGAGTCTTTCTTTCTGTTTCTTTAATTTTTTCTGGACTATATTTATATAGTCACCTACACTTCATTGAGTTGACACATCCTAGGTTTCCAATAAATACTTCGATGATGAATAAACAATCATACACCTGACAGCAATGTGCCTTATTTTCACAGAGCTCCATGAAGTGTATTCCCTCATATTCAACCATCAATTTACATGTTCATTCATTGTTTGACCTATACCCGTGGTTGGCAAACTGCGGCTCACGAGCTACATGTGGCTCTTTGGCCCCTTGAGTGTGGCTCTTCCACAAAATACCACAGCCTGGGCAAGTCTATTTTAAAGAAGTGGCGTTAGAAAAAGTTTAAGTTTAAAAATTTTGGCTCTCAAAAGAAATTTCAATTGTTGTACTGTTGATATTTGGCTCTGTTGAATAATGAGTTTGCGGACCACTCACCTATACATTCAATGGATGTCATTGAACTGCGTCTGATGGCTAGTGCTATACAAGTCCTAAACACTAGCCACCCAAGAGTCAGGATATGAGATTAGGAAACTAAGGCTCATTAGTACAAAGTAATCATCCTAAGGCCATAGCTTGAAAAACCATAGATTTTGTGGCCTCTATCAAAATCAGGCAGTGTTCTATACATCCAGGGAGTGTGTATGCATGTTTCTTACCTTTAGCATTTATTTGATTTTCATGTGTCTGTATCTACAGAGATACTATAGACATACACACACATACACACACATCAAAATCATAGAAATACAGGACACTAATGCTGAAAGAGATCCTCTTTTATATCTGGGTACCTTGAGAGTCAGGGCCAAAGCTCCAAGTCTAAGCTGTCAAATATGGCAGTTACTGGCCACATGTGGCTATTTAAATTTAAGCCAAATAAAATTTAACAAATTTAGAAACCCAGTTCCTCCATCCCATCTGTCACATTTCAAGTGCTCCATGGTCACAGTTGGCTAAAGGCTACCATATCGACAGGGCAGGTAGAGAATATTTCCATTACTGTATAAAGTCCTATTTGGACAATGATTCACTCAGACATCCACTATATATTAGTGGATTAACTTCTCTCTTGTGCATCTAGAATAGTACTAGTCATACAACATCCTTGGGAGATTTGAGAAAATAGTCACTCAAGTGATTGTCTGTGTTCTGGGATTTGGGAAAAGAATGCTGATGAGAAAAGCTAGCACCCTTCAGCTTTGAGATTGGAACACAGGCTGAGGAGAGGGCATGGGTAAGATCCGATCTCCTGATTCTTAGTTCAGTGCTTTTCCTAATATGCCACAGCCAATTGTTCAGATAACTGAAACCAGCCAGTCAACACATGTTTGCAAGACAGATAGAAATAAAGAAGTTAGGAAAGCCGGGGGGTGGCCCTGAATTATTTATTCAGTTGCCCATGTGTGAGGACACAGGCTGTGGGAGGATCTGAACATGTTGTTTTAAGGAAAGCTCTTGTATTCTCTGAGACCACAGATGTGAGCAACAGCAGGAGGACTAGAGGATGGCCAGGGGCGAGAGGCTGGCATTGATGGATGTAGTGGAAAACACCAGAGATGGTGCAGGGAAAGAACATCTCCAAGTAGCTAAGCAGCTCTGGAAACTTTGTACAATATGAGAGCTGATATATAATGAAACCAGAATGTGTGTGCTGGGCATATCACAGAGGTCATCTTGTTGAAATTCCCCCAAAACTCTAGTGAAGAGGACATGATTAGCACCTTTTTATGGAAGATCAGAGGGCCAGAGAGAATCCGAGAGGTGCGATCGCTTGCCCAAGGGCCCACGGACTGGACTGGTAAGGCTGAGATGGAACACATACAACTTGACATCAAAGTCTGTGTAATTCAAACTAAGCCAGTTTTTGGAATATAAACTGTCTGTATGGGAAAGTGACATACATATTTCCATTTCTTTACAACAATTTATTGAACTGTGGACTGACTTCCTGCAGCCATAGACTATGATCTACGTAGCTGTTAACCCTAATTAGACATGTTTCTAAAATGTCAGTTTTAATTTAACATATGATAACTCCGTTATGAAGTCTTAGACTGAACAGAATAGCTATTGTATGAGCCTTAAGTACCAACTGACTATTGGTTATTAAAAACATATTGATTGAAACACAGGGCACTGTAAAATAGAGCCATATCTCATTACACAACAATTAACCCTCCAATAGGTTTCCAACAATCAGATGGTATTTATTTAATGGACAATAACGGCTTTATGAAATACAAATTGAATACATACATAGGAAGCTTCATTTACAAAACTTCCATTTTTAAGTGGAAGTGAGGCCAAGGCTGGACCAAAAGCCTGATACTTCTCATTGCCACAGAAAAAAATAAATAAATCCACGGGCTGCTGGAAAGCCTGCTCTGAAGTGTCACATGAGGTTTCCCAAACCCAGCACTGTGCTCCCAGTGAGGGTAGTAGCAGAGGAGGGGGAGGGATTTCTGCAGAGGTTAGGGAGTGTCTTTCCTCCCCTGTGGTCACATCCCCCCACTGCTGAATGAAGGGTTTAGATTCAGGGACTGATGGCAGAATGGAAAATTAGAGCCCCAATTTAATGTGGTGCCATGATCTAATATATTTTTAAACACACACACACCCCTACCTCCTTTATAATTTGGACTTTGTAAGGACTTAATTAACACACATGGGATTCTGAAACCAGGCATTGTCAAATGGGAGCTGGACTCCAACTCCTACCACCTTCTCTGGGCTTCTGGTCCAATCTCCCAGCCTCTTTGAGTTCCAGTCCTTTCTCACCTGGCAGATAGGGAAGATGATCCCTTTTACAGAGTTACTGGGAAGGTAGAATGAGACACTATACAAAGCATTTAGAACAGAATCTGGCACAGAGTAAGCACTGGATAGGTCACCATAACCACAGAGTAATAGGAATTAATGATTAGCTGGTTATTGTTTTTCCGCATCATCCAGGCTATATCATCATAATTGGCTATCCATTCCAAAGAAGAGCTAGGGGGCTGGAGTGGGCTATGATATACTAATCAGTCCAAAATCATAGCTAAGTTCCAAAACAAGTGTCAACATGTCAACATCATAGCCTGTTTTCATGACCCTCTAAAATCCAAGCCCCTGAAGCCAGAGGTCCTCAGTGGGTCTCAATGCTGAAAGGCACCTCGAGAGAAGGTCTCCACTTCAGGCACTGAGACCTCATGAGACCCACTTTTCAGGGGAGCAGAATATGCTCAGGGAGAGAGAGTGACTTGTCCGAGGCCACACAGCTAGAAAATGAAAGACAGGGGAGCGGAACAAGGCATTCTGTGCCTCAATTTATCATTCCTGGTCTCCCAACAATTCTACCTTTCATTCTACAAAAAAACACTGCGCACAGTCTAAGATTACATAGATATATATGCACATGTCTATCTATATTATACATATGCATGAGTACTCACATGTAATGTATGGATATATACATAAACATATACACACCTTCACGTATAACATGTCTACAGAGGTGTTAACCAATTTCAAGCCTTGAGCTCTTAGAGATGAGATCAGCACCTCTATCCCAGAGGTGATTCTAAATAAAGGTTTTAGGTTTTTAATACTAAAATAAAGCTAAACACTCACTCCATTCATGTAAAATATATTTTATTATTTATTAATTTATATTAGCCAGCATTGATTTATTCCTTGACCCTCAAATGTATCATGTGCCTCTATGGACCAGTCACTGTGTTAGGTGCGGGGGGCACCTGTGGATGGAGGGCAAAGACAACACAGCAAAAGCTCCCTCCCAGTTTCCCTTCCCTTCTAAGTTTCCCTCTTCTTGGCAGGAGAGAGTAAGCGGAATCAACACTTCACGGGCCATGCTCACCTTTCAAAGAAGTGGCCATCGATGGGTGGAAACCACTCCAGCGTCACGGAGTCAGTCGTGTGGCCCACAATCTGGGGAGCCAGGGCGACCGGCGCCGGCTTCTTGGAGGGCTGCCAGCCCTGGTACACCAGGTCCAGGTAGCAATGCATTCTGGCGACTTGATTGGGCGTGAAGGAGTCAGTGCAGTCGTCGTCTGCAAGGGGCAGAGGGGGAAATAAGAACTTGGCTGCATGGGTCGGCATGCAGAAGGATGACGTCTCTTGGAGGCCTGAGAGCCAGCACCCCAGCCCTTGCCAACTGAGAGCCGGCCTCTTCCAGCACTCAAGAGTTAATGGTCTGTGAACAAATTAGTGCAGTCATCACTTCTGGAGACAGGTGAGGGGGAACAGGCGGAAGGGGAGGATGGACAGGACTGAAAAAGCACGTCTGAGACAAACAGGGAATAGCCCAGAGGTCATGGCTAAGGACAAGGGCAGGACAAGCTGCTTTCCCTGAGCCCCAAATGCACTGGTCTATATATCACACATTCCCTTATCTGCTCCCTCCCTCACCATTTATTCACTATCTTCGTTCATACATTCATTCATTCATTCACTTGTTTACTCATACACTTGTTCCTTTATTCACTCACTTGTCCCTTCACTCTTTCCTTCACTCATTCTTTCATCCACTCATTCTTTCATTCTGCTATTCACTGATGTAGTGAGAGTCCTTCAAGCAAACCTTCTGAGCATCTATTGCATATTCTCTGCTCTGTGCCAAGGGCCACAGAAAAGTGGAATGTGGAACACCCTTGCCCTGAAGAAGCTACCCATCTAGTGCTAAAGTGAAGGTCAATTAGTTGTACCAGTCAAGGTTGTTATGAGGTCTATTTTGCCATGTGACCACCGATGAATAGAAAGAGGCAGCATGTTGGGAAGGGAGAGTGAGCCAGGGAGGCTTCTGAAGGAGAAGGCACTGGAGGTCCATCAGACTGCATGGCTAAGGCTGGGAAGAAATTGGAGGGACTGCAGGGGACAAGGCTGCAAGACCACAGAAGCATAGTATGAGAATATGAGACGACACCTGTACAGTACTGACATAGGACATTTATCATGTATGAGCGAGGCACAATACACTGTGCTTTAGATACACTGAGCTCTCCCATTATTTTTTGGAATAAATACTATGAAATTCTTCATTTTAGAGATGGGATTGAGACTGAGAGAGATTAAGCAATGATTTGAAGATTACAGAGCTTGAGACAAATCTGGGATTAGAACCCAGGCAATCTTGACTCCAAGGTCAGGCTTCTAATCAATATGAGAACTTCTTTCTGAGCATAAGTGAGATTTTGTGTGAGAACTTCTTTCTGAGCATAAGTGAGATTTTATCCTGCATGTGCTTGATAAATGGAAGCTGAGCCTGAGGGGGCTGGAATACAAACTCTTAATTGTTTTTTGATGCAATGACCTTCAATCCTCTTCTCCCTTCTCTAAGATGTGGACTGCAGGTGGTGACCCGAGACTCAGCCCCCAAGGAAGAAGCTTGGCTCCCGTCTGTTCCTTCAACAGCTTTATTCAGCTGCCCCACTGGCAGAGCCAGGCACTTTTTTGGCTTGGTTTCCAAAAACACCACTTCCCAGAGGTGTCCGCCTGGTCAGGGTTTCCGCAGCTGGGCCCCAGACGGAGGAGCACGGGGCCCGCCAGATCTTAAAATAAACCCACCGCTGGGAATCCTGCAGCATAAGCTCACTTCACTTATCAAACCAACAGAAAATAAGTTTGGGCAGGTGCTGGGCAGTTGGACGTGCCCTTGAGAATCCAGCTTGGGGAAAGGGCAGGAGTGCAAGGAGGGTATACACAGAAGCTGCCTCTGATACCCTTAGTAATTTGTGACAGTTTCCTTTCCAGCCTTCTGGGGAAGTCTTTCACAACCTGAAGGAAGCAGAAGAGCCTGATGTTCCTTAGCAAGTTCTGTAAAAGCATGACTAACCCAAACCTCTCTCATGTCCCGATTCCTCCTTGGAAACCAAACATTCTATAGCTCCCTATTGCCTGGAGAACAGAGTTCAAACATCTCAGTCTGAGAAGGGCCAGGTCATCAGGGTACAATTTCCTTTGTTGCTAAGAGCTTTGCCGTTCATCCTGGAAGCCATGGGAAATCCACTGGATGAGCTAGAGGGAGGAGAAGGGCATGAGGGCTAGGGTAGTATGTCTGCATAGTTAGATTAATGCATATGGGATCTGGAGTCAAGTGGTTAAGCGATTCCATGCCCTCGGCGCCTCAGCTCCCCATCTGTAAAGTGGGTGGTTAAGGGCTGATCTCAGAACATAGCTAAGGGATAAGGGGAGTAGAACACTAAGAAGCATGATAAATGCTTAGTACATGCTCACCGCCACATGATTGGGTGCCTGTGTGTGTGTGTGTGTGTGTGTGCGTGAATGTGTGAGTGTTAGAAAACTTGGAGAAGGAAATAAACAGAATATAAAATAGTCTTCCTCTTTGATCTAGCAATGTCACATTTAGGAATTCAATATGTATGAACATATGGATATATGAACATATATGAGGAAATCTATGTAAAGGACTTTTTAAAGCATTATTTAGCATAGTAAACATATTAGAAATAGCACATCTCTCTATTAATAAGAAACAGCTGTGTAACTTAAGCCCGGGCATAGAACAGAATAAAAATCAACCATTTCCAAATAAAGAAAGTAACTTTACATCTCGGATCCTAATGTATATAATAAATGAGTCCCACCCCATAGAGCTGTGCACATCCATGAGCTGAAGCACAGAAAGCATCAATCAAGATGAATGGAGGATAAATTCAGTTTTTCTCTATACACTCTGATTTATTTCTTGTACCCCCAAAGAAGCACATTTACCTTTTATAACATAAAAATTAGTCATTTCCATGCCTGTCAGTAAAAAGAGAATTTGAAAATAGAACCTGGTAGGGAATTGAGATGCCTCTGCAATTTGAAGTTGAAGTCAGAAAGGAAAGTCTGTCCCGGATGCATAACTTAGAGATGGAGCTGTTATCAAAATCCTGGGTGAGGTACCAAAGGGTTCTGTTTAATCACAAATGCTCTGTCTCAATTAGCTCATGTCTAGCTCCCCACCACCACGTGCCTTCCCGCCTGACATCTGTGGCCACTTTACCCTGGTCTCAGGACCAGCCGGCACATCTTGTTCTTCTGTCCCCATCATGTCCCCTAGCGGAAAGGAATTTGGGACTGGCATCCTGCTGGGAGCCCGCACCAGTCCCATGATGTTGATGGAGCCCTGAGTTTGCTAATGAACTTGGTTTACATTTGCGGCGGGAGCCACTGAGCACGGAGGTGCAAGACCTGGGCGTGGTTCCTCTACTTCCTGTGGAAAGGTGGCCAAGTGCTGACCCCTGCCAGCCCCAGTTTTACTCACTGGAAAATAGGAAACAATGAGGATACCTGCCCCCGAAAGCTGAGGAGGGTATTTAGCAAGCTGACCCACGTCTAGTTCATGGATAACTGAGTTGCCTTTTGTAAAAGTCCCTCCCTGTGTGTTGTTTTAACAATAATGATAATGACAATAACAGTAATAATAAAGGAATATAAAAATTAAAGATATTCATTGCAGGACATTTATAATATGGTAAAAAAAAAAAAGTAACAAAGAAATAAATATCACCCTAAATTCATTACCTAGAGGTAACATAATTAATATTTAGTATACAGGTATATGTATATATATATATGGATATGAATATGTAAATTTCCCAGTGCGCTTGCGCATGCGCACGCAGACACACACACACACACACACACACACACACACACACACACACATCTGGTCTTACTTTATATATAAGACTCTGTGACTGTGTGTGTGACTGTTTTCACATTAAATAACTCATAAATGACTCACTAATTATCATGGACTGAACACTAGCTATGATACTAAGCCTGTCACCTATATGACAACACTTATCACACAAGGTAAGTGTGATATGCTCCATAGTATCCATGAATCAACCAAGGCTCAGAGCGGAGTAGTAACTTGCTAGGCTCAAAGGCTGGTGCATAGAGGTTTCAAGTGCTGTACCTATGCCCTGAACCTCACACTCTGACCCACTCTACCACTCTCCTAGTGGCCACATAGTGTTGCACCCTGCAGATGCCTTGTGATTTATTTCAGCAATCCATTCCCTTAGGACTTGTAAACTGTTTCTCATTTTTCACAAATATAAGCATTTTTCTTCTACACCTGGCAGATAGTAAGTTCCTAATTAATATTCAGAGAATGAACCTTGCTAAGAACATTCTTCTGATTAAATTTTTAAACACATCAACTGATTTATTTTCTTAGGGATATGTTCTTTAGATATGGGGTGGCTGGGTGAAGCATATGGCACATTAAGGGCCCTGACACAGAGGAAGATGGTGATAAGACAGTGGCTCCCAGAGGTTGGAGAAGGCTGGTTACCACACTCCTGGGGGGAATCAGTCCTTGGTGGGCCCCTAGGGCCTGTTATCTTCATGAAGGACAGTCCTGGCTGCTGCCCTCCTATCTGCCTAGGGCAATGTGACCACACTCTCTCTTTGCTCAGCTAGGTTTGCCCCATCACCTGCTTGATGCCAGTTTGATCTGAGCACCTGGGACCCTCTCAGCCTCACCTAGTATCAGAAAGAACCAGATAATTACTGATTGATAACCTTCCAGTGAGAAAAACTGTCTTTGCTGTGTGACTCCAGACCAGCTACTGATGCTCCCTAAACCACACTCGCTGCATCTGTAAAATGGGTGCAATAATAATAGCCGACCTTATCAGGTTATTTGGAAAGTTCTGTGAGAGAAACCTATGAAGCGTTTCACAGTGTCTGGCCTGTCGTTGAAACTCAATCATCAATGAGGGTAGCCATCAATGAGTATAGCACACTGAGTCTATCAATGCAGTAGCCACCAGCTAGGCATAGTTATGTCAACTGAAATGAATTATAATTACTTAAGGTTAAGAATTCAGTTCCTCCGTCTCACTAATGGCTAACATCCTGGGAAGCACAGACATGGAACAGAACGTGTTCCGTCTCTGCAGAACGTTCTGCAGACTCCTCACCCCACTAGTGGCCAGGCCTGAGGAAGAAGCACTGGGAAGGCAGGACTCCAAGAAGTTGACCCCTTGGGGATCCACCCTCTTGCTGGACTGCAAGGCCCCTAAACACTGCTCTCCTGCTCTCCAGGCCCTGAGAACCCAATCCTGCTCTGCATTTTGAATTTCATCCAGCTGCTTTTGTCACCTCATCTATCAGAGATCCTAAGGAAAACAAACATTTCAAAGCTCGTGGTCGCCTTGAATATGCTTTTGCGGGTGTAAGTTTGTTATCGTAGCTCAGTGAATTAGTTCTGCTGTTAATGGGTCACTGAGCTGAGGGGTTCCTTTAGAAAAACAACAGTAAATCAATCACCCTTTAGATCTGTACAAAGGGGAACAAAAAGAGATTTAGTTTATGGGGGTCTGGTAGCTAGTGGCAGCTCCTAGGCTCCTAAGAGGCCGGCAAGCTTCCAAACTCATGTTATTGTTTATTTTCCATGTGCGTAGCGCTGGCCAAGGAAAGGTGCCGCAGAAATGGAGCGTAAGCAGGGCTGTGTGAGGGCACAGGGCACTGGATGTGGGATGTCCGCTGGGCTGGGAGTGGAACCCAGTGGGAATCTGCTTTTGAGGAAATACCCAGCACTCTGGTCTTCTCAGAGAATGAAACCTAAAGACTCTTTATGGTGCTCTGGTGGGGACTGAGTCTTAGAGAGACCTCAGCTTTGGACTGTATGAACCTGAGATCCCCAGAGATCACCAGCCCAAATGGGAAAATAGGAAGACCCCTGGGGATCATCCAACTCAGTGCGTGCTCATAGCAAAGCCATCTTTCTACATGCAATCTGAAGCATAATGCGGACAGGAATGAAAAATCAGGTGGAGATCCTCCATAGTTCAAGTGGAAACTGAGGCCTAGAGCCCCACCCAGGACAGTCCCTGACGCTTTTCTGTGGAGCAGGATGGGAAAACCACCCAGGTTTCTCAGTTTCCCTCTCTTCTATCCTCTGGGTCTTTGGTGAAGAGTGGCACCATTATAGAAGGAAAGTGATGCAGTCAGATGCATGACCTGGGGCACAAAACTTCAGTGCATCCTAGAACTGTCATCTGTAAAATGTGAATAGTTCCTACCCCTTAGATTTTTGGCTAGAATGAATTGAGATGGCGTCTACTCTAAAGTCCTTTATGAATGATAACCTTTTATATAAGTAGAAATGCTGTTATTGATAAGCATCAATTTTATAGGTCTATTATAAGAGAATTGATTCACTTTCTTGTGTCCCTGGCTCCCTCTCTCCCTTTCTTCCTAACAAGCATTTATTAAGCACCTGTTCTGGGTGCTAAGAATATAGTGATGGACTAGAAACAATCTGCACCTTCACACAATTCCCTTGTTCTAGTGAAAAAAGAGGTCCTAAATTGAGTATTATAATAGAATCTGTGCAATTTTGTAGCTCTTGCCTTACACAGGGCTCTTGCTTAAAGGGGCCAGCAGTGAGGGCTGTGGCTACTCTGGGGAAGGGGTGTCTTGTTCTAATTTGCCAAAGATGTTACAAGGGCTAAAAGTGGTCTTCATGGATGCTAAAAGGAAGTGCGGGGCATCCTAGAATACATGGAGTGAATCCGTAATACTGTTACTAGAGGGTTTTGGAAGGACATGTGCGCTTAGAAAAAGGACAAATCAATCTCATGTAATCATTATGTACTTGCAAAACTAAAAGCATTCCATTTTTTAATTTTTATTGTAATAAAATAGCAAAGGAGGGTGTGAGAGTTTTATAGTGTGTGTGTGTGTTTTTATTTATTTGTTTGTTTGTTTTTTATGGTTCAAATACCACGAGCTGAGAAAAATACAGCTAAAAAACCAGGAGGGATTTTTAGAGACAGAGTCTAAAGAACCCATTTTCTTGAGAAAAGAGAGGAGATGGGATGGGCTGAAAGGCACCAGGTGACAGAGCCACACCTCTACTCTGGTGTCCTGAGTATCAGTCCGAGGGCTTTCCAATGTGCATCTTCCTGAGGAGCTTTCAAATGCAGCATCACCCACAGACACTTGATGTTTTCAAGGTCACAGAGTTAGTGAAGGCAGACTGAGCACTGAAACCAAGGGGTCTGACCTTGAGGGCTTCATTTAAGCAGAAGCACATAGAATACTTATCAACCTGGGCGTGACTTACTTTCTAAGAAAGAAGCTGGAGTAGAAAGGTTTACCAGGAGTATTATCCTGATAGTCTGGGATGAGGAGTTGTTGGGAAGATGTATGAGCAGCGGTAAGCAGCTTGCTCAAAGATACTATGAGTCAGGACTGGAGCCTCTATCTGCCACCCAGCCCTGGGAATCCTGCGAAGAGTGGGGCCCTACCTGCATAGCTCATGAAGTTGTTGTAAGGAGTGTCGAAGAAGCTATGAAAGCCACAGGTGTCGTTTCCTGGCCCTGGGTCACCACAGAACTTGTATTTGGGGGCTGGGTTGGTGTCACTGCAGAGGTCTCCCGTCTCAAAGGAGGGCTCGGTCTCCATACAGGGGTCACTGCAAGACTGGATTTCTGAGATGCCTCGGAAGATGTGATAGAGGCCCAGGCTGTGCCCGATCTCGTGGATCATGGTGTGGGTGTGCCCAGGAATGCCATAGACAGATGGGTTCAGGACGATGCCACCTGCAAGGGGAAAACCAGAGCATGAGGCAAGCTGGACACTTTGCTTCCTGATTCAGGAATCCCCTAATCAATGGGGTGCTGCCCAAAGTACCCATGGGCTTTTCCACCCTATGCCTCCAACTGCCCTGGGAGCTACTGTGACTTGTCATATGAATCACTGATTCAGTAGGAAGGAGTCTCAAAAGTGATTTTGTGCAATCCCTTCATTTTCCAGATGGAAACACAAATGCTTACAAAAGTGAGGCAACTTACCCAAAGTGATCTCCAACTACTTAAGAGAGATTGCATAATTTGAACTCAAGGCCTCTGATTTCTGGGCCGGGGAAACATTTCTGCTGCAACTTCTTCCTTAGAAAGTAAGTCACGCCCAGGTTGATAAATAGTCTATGTGCTTCTGCTTAAATGAAGCCCTCAAGGTCAGACCCCAGGGCTTTAGGGCTCATTCTGCCTGCATGTACTCTGTGACCTTGAGCAAGTCAATGACCATCTCTGAGTTCCAGTCCTTTTGCTCTCTAGTCTCTGCTGCCAGCACTGTGTTGCACTTGTAAAGTGACCATAAAGCCAATATTTCTTAAGCATTATGATGTTTCCTCAGGCCAGCAGTTGAGTGTTTCCTGTGTATAATCACAGTCATTCCCAGCCCAGCGAGACTGGCACTGATTTCCGGAGAAGTGAAGCAACTGGCCCATGGTCAGCAGCTAGTCAATGTGGAGCTGAAATCTGAACCATAATCCCTGGACTCCAAAGTGAGGGTTCTTTATCTGAATTCTACAGTGGATGCCTACCTCAGGGACCAAAATATGGTATGTCCTTAAATGTGTGTTAATATTTGCTGAATGCTGACACAACAAAAAAAGTTATGCCAACTCAAAGCACATATAAGCAGCTAGTATAGCATATGACATAACAATGAGTGCCTGTATCACTATTTGTTAAAGTGTGGCTCACCTAGAAGGTGGTTAAAATGCATAATCTCAAGCCCCTCCCAAACCTACAGCTTCAGAATCTGAATTCAAACAAGAGCCCCAGATGACTAGACTGCCTAGTTTGAGGACGAATAGTCCACACCCTGTGTCTTAGAAAACAGCATTACTTTGCTTGGCGAGACAAATGATAGAGGTCTCATAGAATCAACTGGCAGCAGCCTTCCATGTTCATTTCAGGCACTGAAGAAATCCATGCAGGCTAGCAGAAAGATATGTAAACTTTAAATCTGAGTGTGTCTAGGGGAAGGTTAAAAGTAAGGTCTGAACTTCCTGTATGTAGTAACTTTAAGTGCAAAGCAACATCTTATGTAATGGCGAGAGGGCAGAGCCTCGATCTGTCCTGGCAGGCCTGGTGCTGGCGAGCAGATTTATCTCGCACTGAATTGCTGGGAGGGCAAGCTTGCTCAGTCATGGGGCTGGTGAGGTCTATTCATTCTGAACTGCTCAGGGACTTTTTAAAACGCAAAGATAAAGATGTATGAGAGTGCTGTGGGGATAGGGTATGTGCACGTGTGTATGTGAGAAAGGGCAGGCAGAGGCAGGGAGGAAGAGAAGATAGGAAATCTCAATTATTTGATGTTGATCATAATATAAAACATAATCCCCTTCCCATCCAGACTTTTTCCAGGGATCATGGTGTAACTAGGAGAAAAAGAGAATATATATATAATTTCTAATGGATGGGATTTGATTGGGGCTACTTAAGAGAACTTGCTTATGACCAATCTCTCTCAAAACAGGGAGGTGACAGCCTGAAGGACAGCTGATGTTAGCCTGACATGGGTTACAATCCTTAATTTGCTTCATATTGGCTGTATGATCTTGGGAAAGTGACCTTGGCTCTCTGGGGAGTTCTAAAAGAAACAGCCACAAGAGTGTCAATGACTCTGTCTCTCCAGGAAACTTCGACATTGAGGTAATGTGGGGAGGACCACACATATATTTTTCAAGGATAAGAACAGGATCGCAGACTTAATGTCCAGGTGGGCTCTGCTCGTTCTACCTCATTCCCACCAGCGCACCCCTTTGCACAGAGCGATAGCACAGAGTCTGAGTCCTGTTTCATTGCTTCTCTTAAAAGGTGAAATAGCTGGAGTCTGACATCATCCTGAAATACTATAACATGCTATGGATTTATAGCCTTCTGTACTCCTGGTCCTGATCCAGTCTCTGAAATTCGTGGAACATCAGGAGTACTTTTCTTTAACTTTAGAAGTCCGCTGTTCAACCACGTTAAGACTGCTCCTGGCCTTTTTTGTTGCTTTTCCAAAAGCACAAAATTTCAGCACAGAGAAGGGTCCTTGGAGGCCACCATCTAGCCTAACCTGTTCATTTAAAATCTAAAGAAAGTGAGACCTGGGAAAAGAATGAGCCCTGCCTAAGGCCATAATGAATCTGTTCGCTGCTGAGAACTATGGATTTTGGCTCAGGACTAGCACAATTCCCCAGACATCATACGAAGCATGTGGTATAAGCTGATCATGCCCAAGTTTTCCTAAGTTGCAATCTCTCTTTTTCCCAATACCTCTCTGTCTGTCTGTGAATCCACCTGTCTGTCTATCCATTACCTACCTCAGAGTTTCTCAGCACTATTGCATTTGGGACTAGATAATTGGGGCTACTTAAGAGAACAAAGGCAATCCTGTGGCCTTTGCAGGAGATTTAGCAGCAGCATTGACCTCTACCCACTAGATGCCAGTAGCATCCCCTCATTTGAAATAACCAAAAATATCTCTAGACATTTCCAAGTGTCTCCTAGGAGATAAAATCCACCCCTCCCCAGTTGTGGATCACCACATACACACACACACACACACACACACACACACACACACACAGTGGTTTAATTGTTTTAAAAACAACTGGAAAATGAGAGCTGTCTGGAGCAAACTAAGTCTAGAGTTTGATTCATTATAACATCATCATTTGAAGTTACAGAATCCTTCATCTCCAAGATAGCATAGATGCAGCTCCTGGACCATGGGCTATCCCTGGGAGACCAGGCAGCCGGAGGAAATATCCAGCATGGTCACTTGGCTGAGCCTGGGCATTCCCTGATGAAGACACTCACTGAGTCATCACTGCTCACTGGCGGAAATAGTGGGAATATTTTACCAAAGGGTACTGGTTAAAGACACTGCAGTGCCCTCATTCAATGGAATGTCATATGGCCATTACAAATGGCGTCTTTAGAGAGATGAAAATAACCCAGAAAGATGTGTGTGATGTTAAATGAGAAAAAGTGGGGTGGGAAGTAATTATGAAGATTGCTGCAACATGGAAAAATGTAGATAGCATAACATTCTGTGAAAAAAAGAACACAAAGGTGCATATATGCTATGATTTTAAATATGCACAAGTTAAAAAAAATGCACGTCTGTGTATATCTGAGAACTGGAGAGAGCATGAAAAAATTTTTTAAAAATCAAACAACTCCAATGTTTGCTCACAGTGCGTGTTTCAGAAACCATTGTCATTTCTGACTTTGGTGACTGATATGTATAAACATGTATCGTGTTTATGGACATGCATAATTTGAATGTAAGAAGAATTCCTGGTGTTGGTGGGTGGAACATGAAGGAACAAGGAGTTCTTACAAACTCGCTTTCTCTTGCCTCTCTGGTGGCTTTCAAGCCAACCCATGTTTGGCTGTGCCAGCACAATGTGGTTGCAAGGGTGAGAAGATATTTGCATGAACAAAGAGGCAGAGAGGCAGGGGATACTGAAAGCAATTGATGGACGAACTTAATAAATCTGAATTCAAAACATGGCTCTGCCACTGACGTGTGTGACCTTGGATAAGCCCCCACTCCCTCTCTAAATCTCAGTTTCCTCACTGGTAAACAGGGTGAATACTATTATATTATTTTCTTCAGAGCATTTCTTAGTGGTTGACAAGAGATAAGGAATGCTCAAGTGTTTTGTAAATGTAAAAAGTAAAAAATAAATTGTTCACCATCCCCATACTACCACCACCATCAGGATCGTGATCACCATGATCCGTCATCATCACCATCACCACTAGTAAATGTATTCCTGTACTAATCCAACTCCCTCCTGGAGACATTTCTAATTCTCACCTAAGGGCATTAGGGCCTCCTTGTCCCATGGCCAAGTGGCTACTCCTGCCAATTCCTCCTCCGAGGAGTTTGCAAAGAAGATATTGAGGTGTGTAGTTCCATCCAGTCTAAGAATGTTCTTCAGTTCATTAACATCCAAGTACGCTCTGTAATAGAAAAAGAACCTTGGCTGTCATCACCATTCAAAGACGTGACTCTTCACATAACAGATACTGCTCATTCAGTAAGAGCAACTATGTGTCAGGCACTTTGCTAAGCACTTTATAGACATCAGCTCATTGACTTCTTTCAATACATAGTCTAAGGAAAATGATATGGTTCCATTTTATAAATAAGAAAATTATATCCCTATGCATTTAAGAGGCTTGATAAGGTTGCTCAGCTTACAAATAGCAGAGTTCAGTTCAGAACCGTGACTTATCTAAGGTCCACATCTGTGTCCCTAAGGACTCAGCTATGTAGACTGGTGACAGGGCCACACAATGTGAATATGTATAGATCAAGAACACAGACTGTGGAAGAGCGAACATATTTTCTAGTCTTGGCTTCTTTCTTTCTTTCTTCATTCACTATATAGATCTTGGACCATTCATTTGGTGTATAACGGAGCTGTACTAGGAAGGAAGCCTTCTTTGCATCTCCATACTATCCATGCAAGGAGGCACTGTTATTTGGTTTTCAAGATGAGCAACATGTGGCCAGCCCAATGTGACTAAACAGGCTGTCCAAAACTGTAGAACTGGGTTTCAGGGTCAATTCTGTCTAGCTTGGAAACCCATACTCCTTTGATCGGGGCATCATGCTGTCACCTGTAGCACATGATTCTGCATTCTATGTCTTTGTCTGTACAGTAGACTAGAGAAGGATATTGTATTTGAGGTCACTGCCACGGTAGCCTGACATATCTGGAAAGTGAATTAACTCCTCTTAACTCTTTAACACTTGGGACAAACACATGTTGGAGAGAGGGAAAAAAAATGGACTTTGGAGACAGACTGAGAGATCCTAGGTACTCAGTACTAAGAAGTCTTGCCTTACAGAAGAAGACTCTCCCACCAAGATAGAAAAGCTAAAGTAGGGGATCAGCCACAGGAACCTTATTCACACTCATTCCTGAACAGAGAGAGGCATCCTGCTCTCTGCTCATAACGCCTCTTCCAGCTCCTGAGTTATGTTTGTCGTCATGTATTTTAGGGATCTTGTGAGCAGCTGATAATCACTTCTTAAGGAAGGTTGGAAATGAATCCAGTGATTCATTGATAAATGAATAAAACATAAATAAATAAGCAGACAGGCAGCTTGATGTAGTAGGCGAGATAAAGTCTAGGAATAATGATATTTGATGTTTGCTGGACCCTTCTATGTGGCCCAACTTTACATGGATTGTCTCCTTTCATTGACTTATTTATACTAAGGTAAGCAGCATTATTATTCCCATTTTCCAGAGGAGAAGATGGAGGCTTAAATAACCTTCATATCTTGCTAAGGTCACATAGTCAGTTAAAAGTGTTCTCCTTTTTCACAATGTTGTCTATCCTGGGAAGTTGGCACAGGGCCTGGCATGTAGAGCACATAATGATGGTTCCCTTGTCTTTCCCTCTGAGTCATGGAAGGGTCTCCATATGTGAAAGTAAAGTCCAAGCTTCCAGCATGGCCTGTAAGAACATGTCTCCACTTCTGGCCTCATCTTTCTCTGTTTCCTCTTGAATCCCCCACTGTGCACTGGCATCATCACTCACCACGAAGCATCAGCACAATACCTTTTCTCATGCAATTCCCTCTATCAGGAACTCTGATGAACAAATCCAAAGTGCATCTGGGACCTCTCCTCCAGGAAGACCTTCCTGATTTCTACATCACCACCACCTTCTTTACTATCTTTGTACTCATTCACCTCCTATTAGTAGGCACTCTAACACCATTCCAAATAATTACTACCCCTGTCTATATCTACCACTCTTTGTGGCTCTCTGGAGGGTAGGGGATACACCTTAGTCATTTGTTTACTGAGTCCTCAGCACATGGCTTGACACTTGAGAAGCACTCAATACAAATGGTTGAAGTTAAATTCACACTAGGAAAGAAAACGGCCAAAATATTTAGGTCACAGTCTGTTTCAGCACTTCCTTGCTATGAGACCCCAGTTTCCTTATCAATACACTGGATGCTTCACAGAGCATTTCTGTGGGTCATGACCTTACACTTCTACTCCCTTTGGAATGGGAATAAGAGATGTTGAGACCTTGAGTACTCTCCTGTCTACCCATATCATCAAGAGTTCAAATATTCATGTAACCACAATCTTTACAGCTTTTCAAATAATGGGTTAACTCGAATTGTAAATACAAGCAGGGCCAGGAGAGATTGAATCTATGTGGTCCTGAACATGATTCAAGTGACCAATTTCAAAGACAGCCACATAAGTTTAGATATTGATTCAAAGTCTTACTATTGTGCCCTTTTCATCCCCAAGGTCCTATCTTCAGCTTCTTGGCCTGGAAACCTCATAAGGAGTTCAAACCAGACTGTTCTGTGGTAAAGAAGGAAAACCAACACTTATTAAGCACTTGCTGTATGCCAGCTCCACATGCTGTTCCATCTCTATGCACATGCGATGCCACAGAGTGGACAAGATGGCTTCATCCCAAGCCAGAGCCCTGGCTTTAAATCAGCTCTTCCATTTGACATTTGGTTCAAATATCTTAAAGGGGCAATTTACTTGACTCCTTGCACACCAGTTTCTTGATTCACAAAACACAAAAACAGTAATAGTACCTATTTCATAGAGTTGTTCAGAGGATTTAGGACATTAAAATGAAAGTGTAAAGGGCTTAGAATAATGCCTGGCATGTAGAAATAAGTGTTTAGTTATTCCTATTATTTACCTCATCTTATAGACGAAGTAACAGGGGTTTGTAGATCACAGAGTAACAAGGCCAAGGGCAACTCTAGATGTGGCCAACACTTCCCACAGCTTTGCCCTCATTTCCAAGGCTACTGCAGGCCAGAGTGGAGAGGGAAATAGTGTGTGGGAGGAGAATGAAAACACAGAGAAGCTGAGGTTTTTTGGATCAGCCCTTTCCACATTATTTATTACTAGAGGCCTGGTGCATGAAATTCATGCACTCAGGGGGCGCGGGATGTGGGTGTCCCTCAGCCCAGTCTGCACTCTCTCCTAGTCTGGGAGCCTTCAGGGGATGTCTGACTGCCAGCTTGGAGTGGCCTAGGTTGACAGTTGAACATCCTTAGCACTGCCACAGAGGCGAGAGAGGCTCCCAGCACCACTACCACTGCACTCACCAGCCATCAGCCCGGCTTCTGGCTGAGCAGCGCTCCCCCTATGCAAGCCCTCTAACCATCTCCTGCATCGAGGGTCTTCCCCCTGGTAGTCAGTGGATGTTATAGTAACTGGTCATTCTGCCATTCAGTTGGTTTGCATATTAGCCTTTTATTATATAGGATTTTCTAAAAGATTTGTCCACTTCCATCAAGTGTTCTCTCTGGCAGAGAACACAAATGTTATTAGAGAAAGTCACCTTTTCACCCCATGGCTCTAGGCTGAGAAAATTTCAGTGGGGGGAAGGGGAAGAAGGCCAGAGGAGACATTTTAATTGGTTGTTTGTTCAGTTGTAATTGCAGAAGCAATCTTTTCAGGGGGTGGCATTCATTCTGGCCCAAGGCAGAGATGTGGGATGTTTGAAGTATTCCCCTGTTTGTAAGGTGTTTTTTTTCTCATACTTTTGAGAAGCCTCTGTTTCTCAAAAGAGAAAGAATCCACAGTAGCCATCCTGGCTCCCAGCCCCACTAGTCTCTCTTCTCTCCATCTCTTTTGGGAAGGGGGATCCCACCCAAAGGAAAATAGTTCTGTGGCTGAAAGTCTTCCTCTATTTGCTAAGTCTTCCCACCAATTCAGAGCCTAGCTCGGTGTCTCCCAAATGCATCAGGAGAAAATCTTGGGGACAGGAGTTCATGTGAGTATCTATCTGCTTCCTCCCATCTCTTTAAGATATTGTGCATTCCTTTCAGTCAATGGCTGGAGGAGAAATCACAGAAGGTCAAATTGAGCAGGACCACGAGAGTCTAGAGGGACTGAGGATGAGAAAAGGACAAATACCTCCTCATGGCCACGTGCCTTTCCATTTTGCCACTGTGGGAAGGTTGGCCCTGAGTGTATAAGATAAATTGGTCAAATTAATTTTTTTTCAAATCACTAGCCCAGAAAAAAATCAATCCAAATACAAAAACTCTGTGTGTTTGTTAATTTATAAAGCAATGCTATTCAAAGTTGGATGGCCAGAGCTATGTCCATGGTTGCTTTACTTCTCTGAGTCTCTGTTAATGCACAGGAATGCAGTTGCATTAAAGGAGGTAGCTCAGCACAGTCCTGGCAGACCCCTCCATGTCCTGGTCTCCTATTTTCTCCTCCTGGACAACACCTGAACTGATAGTCAGCCTCTGGGTTTCTCCCTCACTCTTGGCTTTCAGTGTCTCATCCCACCATCCAACCTTTTTTTTCCTGCCACATCTTTCCACTCAAATTCTCATTATTTCCTCATCTGAGAACCTCTGGTTTTCCCCAATTACGCCCATTCACTAAGCGTGCCCACTGTTTCCCCTCCTCTGCCCCACAATCGCTTTTCCTGAGTCTTAGCTTTCCAAAACCCAACCCTCCATGCTAAGTTCAGCGTACAGGTGATGTGCTCTATGGACCCACTCAGGACCACCCACCTGTAACATGGGATAATGCTGTCCACACCTAAACAGGTTGTCTGAAGGACTGAAAGCAGAGCAGAGGAAGTTCCTCACACAGGGCCTGGCCCATAGAAGGCACTCCTTAGTTAACCTTGGCTATTTTCATTGCATTATCATTATTATTCCAATGATAATTATTAACAACACCAAAATCATCATCATCATTTCTAGCTGAAAATGATGCCTCCCTTCTCACAGTCTCCCTCCCTGCCAACACACACACACACACACACACACACACACACACACACACACACTTCGGATTCTGGTGATTCTATTATCACTGTTCTTTGTGTTACCTTCATGGTGTGAGCACCTGTCTTCCCCATCACGCTATGAGTATCAAGCAGGTGGAGCCAAATCTTTATCACCTCTGTGTCTCTCAAACTTTCCC